GGCAACGCCCACCCCCACCCTGCACCACCCACCCTCCACCCTGCACCCCCACCCCCACCATACACCGCTCCCACACACAACCTCACACACCTCCACCCACTCCCACCACACCCCCCCGGAATCGGGTTTTGGCCCCCGATCGTAACGATTTTATATTATCCGCGAACGAAAATCCTTTCGGATAAAATAAAATATGCGAAAAAGCCTGCCAGTATAGTAATATAGTAATCCGACCGCCGCCGTAATACGAATCGAAAAATAACGCTACTTGCGCCGCGATACGATGGTTACCCGGTAAGTTTTGCACCCTACTATGATAATAACATAAATATGTTTTGTTTTTTTTTTTAACACTGCTTACAATTTTTTACCACATGTCTTTGAAGAATCTCGAAGGTCGCCGTCTCGTGGAGAAATCTATACCTGGACTTACCTGGTTGAAAACCCAATAATAATTTAAATCTATTCTACTTCGTATAAATAAAAACGAAAAACGCCTTGAGCCGTTTTTCTTACCTGCGTATTTGTCAAAATATCGAGAGTACGCTGGTGGTGGCGTTGGGAGGTGGGTGGTTAGTAGCGTTATGTAGGAAAAGAGACGTTTTCCCTACGTTCACCCGTTGCGGGTGGATTGGTGAGGGGGGGGTGTCGGATGCGCGGATGTGGGCGTGTAGGTTGCGCGGACATGGGCGTACAGGTTGCGCGGGTGTGGGCGTACGGTTGCGCAGACGTGGGAAGTCAGTTGCGCAGATGTAGAGGTCGATTGAGCGGTCGTTGGGGTCGGTTGCGCGGACGGGGGGGGAGGGGGTCGGGTGGGGTCGGGTCGGAAAGCGCGGTGGTTCGTGCGGGTACGGGTGAGGGAGTTCAAGGCGCGGTAGAGGGGACTGGCTCCGCTATCCCGGGCGACGTGTATTATTCGGAAACGGGAAGAGAAAAACCGGAATTTTCACTATGTATCCGCCCCTTTTTCGGGAAAAAAATTCGGCCCCGGTTCTCGCGTTTCATTCCCGTCGGGAGACCGCGGTGCGAACGGTACTCACAAACGCAACCGCCGTTATTAACATTTCTTTTCGGTTCCTACTCCGCAGTGATATTTGAATACAATTAGGCGAATCGCCGGTTTCATTACGACGGACCGTATCGGATCGCACGCCGTCGCGCACGAATATTGTGCCGCAGTTATCGAGAGCGGATATCGAATTTGAACAGAAAACCCAACGGGACCGAACGGTCCGTACGAACGGGGATAATACCGGGGGGGGGGGAGGGGGAAACTGTTAACTCCGGATCGTTTTGCCGCTCGAATTACTATCAATTGCGTTAAAGTTCGGTCGGCCGGTTCGGTTTATACCGCAATTACGCGCGCGCCTAATCGAATCGATCGAAATGAATTACTATTATGTTACGTCGAAATATTACGGGAATTCAAACGAGTTATTGTATTATCGTTGTTGATATTATTATTTACGCGTATTTTTTTTTTTTTTTTTATATCTAATATAAAGTCGAGAAAATTCAATACTCCGTTCGGATATCGCGAATATAACCTATAATAGGTAGGTTTGTTTAAAAAATTTAAAAAAAAAAAAAAAACCGTTTGACGCGTACAAATAATGTACGGGCGAAAAGGAGGAATAAATAAAAATCCATTCGGAACGCGAACGCGGTTTTCGAACCGAACGCAATTACGAGTAATTATATTGTCAATATTGGCTCGGGCCCCGCGGTTTAATAAGTGCCCGTCCATTATATTAAGTAAATTATTACGCGCGGTAGAGAATACTTTATTATCGAAGACGAATTTTAACGGAGAAAAAAAAATTATAATCGTGAATAAATAAACGGCGAGAGGGGGCGTAGGGGCGGGAGGTTGGGAAGAAACGGTGACGGGACGGAGGGCCGAGTGGAAACCCGCGGGTAACGGGGTGGGGGGTGGGTGGCGGTTGGTGGAACCTGAAATAATCGACCCGAAAAGGCGTTTTCGATTGTACGCGTCAACGAAAATCACAATCGAAAATCGGTTTGCGAAACAATCGATTACGACCGACCGACTTTGTAACGCGATTTCGCGGCCTGCGAACGATCGGGAAAAGGCCGGAGGTTTCATACCCCGACCCCCTATCAACCCCCTCACCCCGCACCTCACCCCCACCACGCCCAGTTGTTGACGGGGTGCCGTTTTCGTTGCGGGTCTATCGTACTTTTCCGCCCGCGTTTTCCGTCTTCGGAAACCCGGGGAAATCGGACGGAATATCGCGGTGTGCGGGAGAGCGGCGGAGGGGGTGAAAAAACGGCGAAAAAAAGGGCGAAAACAGGGCGGAAAACGGCGGAAAAAACGGCGGAAAAACGGCGGAAAAACGGCGGAAAAAATCGCAAATCTACGGGGAAAACGCGGCGATAACCGCGTTTTCGACGACGGGAACGATACCGTGACGTCACCGAGCGCAGCCGTTTCGCGCGGCGTTCGGCGACGGCGGCGGCGGCGATGACGTCACGGCGTAACAATAACAATAATATTATTCGTGGCGGCGGGACGGGTCGCGCGGGATAATGTTGCGGCGTGCACAGACACGCGACGTTATGCGATAACCACCGCGCGGGAAACGCTGAACCGCGACCGGGCGTAATGCGCTTCCCGGTCGCGCGTACCCGCGCCCTGTATAAACGCACCGCCGTTAATTGAACGGTTTCGCGGCGCCGCGCGAAAATTTTAGGTTTTTTTTTTTTTGTTTTAATTTTTAATTGTCGCGGCTGTTTCCAACCCCCCCCCCGCCCCTTCCACCCATACCGCCGCGAAAATCGGAACGAAATTTATTTAATTTCAATTGTCGTTCGTAAGTCGGAATACTTGAAAAAATTAAGAAAAAAAAAAAAAAATACGTAATTTCGGAAAGTCGGAATACTTGTAAAAATTAAGAAAAAAAAAATCGTAATTTCGGAAAGTCTGAATACTTGTAAAAATTAAGAAAAAAAAATACGGAATTTTTGTAAGTCCTAATACCTGAAAAAACCAAAATAAAAAAAAAAATACTTAATTTCGTAAGTCGGAATACCTGAATAAACTAAAAAAAAAATCGTAATTTCGAAAAGTGGTAATACCTGAAAAAACTATAAATAAAAAAATACTTAATTTCGTAAATCGTAATACCTGAAAAAACTAAAAAAAAAAAAAAATACGCAATTTCGGAGTTGTAATACCTGAAAAAACGAAAGAACCCTATTGTCGCGCTTAACGTATAAATAATATAAAAAAAATTACCCGAAAATCACGCCGCTGAAAACATATTATTACTAATTCCTGTTGTCGCACTTAATGTATAAATACTATTAAAAATATCGCAAACTACTTAAACAAATTACATAAATAAAAAATTATAATATATTATACGTACTGTTGAATAAATTCCGGAAGTAGACGATTACTCTCTTCCGGAATTTGTCTATGCTCTCCATGGCGGCGCTCATTATGAAATCATCTGTTTAAACTTTTTAAAATAACATAGTGTTGGCTCACATCTGTCAGTCGTTGAAGTTCCCGACGGCTATCAACTTATATACCGGAGCCCATCGCAATTGCTAGTGAATTTTGTAGAGAAATTTTAAACGTGCCATACTGGCGAGACAACGGGAACCGCAAGTGTTAATTTTTTTTTTCCGCGTGAAACGCGCGCGGGGCGCGAGAGTCCGCGATGGGACTTTCTCGCTCGAAATTAGGTGAAACGCGTATTATTATTATTTTTTTTTTAATAAATTTTTTTTTTTTAAAAATTTCTCCGCGGTTAGGCTGGGGGTGCCGGCTTAACAGCCGGCACGCTGGGTGATCGGGAAATTCGAGAAAATTTACATGGTGTCTATCACCTAACTGATCAGAAACGAACAGGGAAGTTATACATTAATTGCGATATTGAAGAGAACAACGAAACCGTATGGGCTATAGTAGCGGTACAGTAAGTGAATGTAACGAAAGTTGGGCTCGTTAAAGAAACCAAAAGTCGAGCCGGAGATCACTAGCGGAGCAAAGTACAAGTCAAAAGTAACACTGTACTCGAACCAGGCACCGGCAAAGACTGAGGTAACGTAGTTAGCAATTGCAACGGGAGCGTCCTAACTGGTGAACGTCGCAAACGGTATTGCAGTGAGAAACTCTGGCGATGATCTCCGACGCTGTTGAAAACGACCGCGACGACGACGCCGACGCCGACCGCGACGACGCCGACGCGACGAGCGGCCGCCCCAACAAGTGGCCTGCGCCACCGCGGCAGCCGCCGTCCCGTCCGCTCGCGTACCTTTTGCCCGCGCCCCCACCCGCCCCCCGGCCACCGTTCGCCCGTCGGTTTTTCGATTTACGTCTTTTCAGCGCGCGCGTTCGCGGGTACACGCCCCCCAACCCCGACCTGCACCCTACCCCCCAATCGCCCCCCCCACACACCCCGCTGACACATCGACAGCCGCGGGGCTCTTATCGCGCGTGACCTGACAGATTTTGGACTATTCGCGCGCATATATATGCGTGTGCCACCAGCCCCCCACCCACCGCCGGTGCCCCCCGCTCAAACAGTCGTCGTCCCCCGGCGCACGCCATTGGTCGGCCCGAGGCTACGTACGGTCGAGCGAACCGTACCCCCTACCCCCCCCACCGCCCGCCCTCCGAACCCCCGACCGCCTCCTCGGCCCGGGCGATTTCTAGTAACAACCCCCCCCCCANCCCACACACACACACACACACACACACCCCAACACCACCCCGTCGCTCCTCGCGCGAGCGCCGTAATGAGGCCGCCGCCGAAGCGCACCCCGTCTCCGGGCCCCCCGTCTCCGCGTCCCCGCGTCACAGGCAGCAGGTATACGGTATTGTAATATATACGACCGCGTATACCCACCTATACACGAACGCCGGGATACTTTCTGATTTTACGGGGCAGTAGATTTCTCTACGGGATGTTGGGATTTCCACCCCCCCCCCAACGCCCTCCGTTCGTGTGCGCGAAAAGTATCGGGAATCGAAAATTATATTCGATATATTTTATTTTATTTTTTTTTTTTTTGATTAGTTAAAATGCTAATAAAGGCGGATTCGCCGTGTCGACGCATTGTTTAATAAGCATTTATCTCGCCGACCGCGGTGTTCGGGGCGTCGTGGGAAGGGCAGAGGGTTGTGGTCGGGCGAAGAGTTCGAAGTGATCATCTTCGTCCGGTCGACCGTAACGGTTTTACGGGTAAAAAATTAAAAAAAAAAATCCGCGGAAAATTGAACCGTTCCAGCGGATTGCGTTCCCGCAATATTCGTACGCGGCCCGGGCGATTGGTCGCAATAATATCATCGCAGGTGCGGCGTTTACAAAAATACATTTCGATTGGGGGAGGAGTGGGATGGTCGGTTGTACAGCTTTCGTGCTCTCGCGACGACGAGGATCGCTCCCGATTTCAATCGTCCCGGTCGGATTGTTAATTTTTACGCGATAAAAATGTCGATGCGTTACAACATTCGTTGTACACGCTTTTCAGACGTTCCGACTCGAACCGTACGCGTTTCAATATTGATTTGTCTTTTTTTTCTTTTTTTCCAGTCGAATACGGTTTAAAAAAAAAAAAAAACGATAACGTGATTCGAAACGGTATTGTCGCGGCGCGGTAACGCGGACCGCGCGACATCGCCGGGTCAGTCACGATTTTCCAAAACCACGTGGAAACGACAACGTTTAACGACTGTACTATTTTTTGTGTACTATTGCCACGCGGTCCAGCAAACGAAACGAAACGGAAATCGCGTTCGCGCCACCTCCGCGGACGGAAATTGCTTTTCGTGCGCGGCCCGACGATAATCGACGCCCGTCACTCCGCTGCGGTCTTGTCGCGCGCGAATCTCGCGTCATGCCGCGAACGCGTCCATTGAGGGCCGGCGCGAGACCCGACCGCGCGGTCGTGACGGGGCGGCGGGAGACGGCCGTCGGGCGACGTCGCGTCCGCCGGACTTTTGCGTTCGTGTACGGGTTTCCGTCGGGAACGGGGGACCGGACCGCGTCGACGGCCGTTGTTTTCGCGTTCGGTTTTCGTACCGCGGTTCATACGTTTCGTTTTCATTTCCAACCCCCCGCCCCCCCGTTATTCTGTCTCACTATCGCTCTCTCTCTCGCTCGCTCGAGCCGGGACGCCGACGGGCGATCCGGTCGTCGGTCGTACCGCATCGCGGCGACGTGACGCACGAATGTCGTCGGGCCACCGCGTCGCGCGGCCTTTGGGCGAAATCCGTACGCGTTCAAAAGCGAAACGCAGGTTATTCGGCTCCGTTTCGGCGCTGTCGGTCGGCAGCCGGCGGGCGCGAACAACGGAACTGTCCGGTTTCCCGCGCCCGCCAATCATCTCAACGCGATAGTCCCGCGGACTTTACGCTAACGACGCGGGAGTCGGAACGGGCCGCCGACCGCTGTTGGCCCGGGGAATGCGCGGGGACGACGGACCGGTGTGCACCGCAGACGCTCCGCCGGGAAATTATACCGAATCGTGCCGTTTCGCCCGCGCGGACCGGCAGCGGCGAGGCTGCAGGGATCGAAAAGCCGGAAAATACCCGGGGAAATATTCGGCGAAATCAATGGCAGTTTTTTTTTTCGCGCCCAAGACGGCCGAGATTATGAAAATATAATTCCAGACGTTTTTCGAATTGGAAAAAAAAAAAATAAAATAAAAAACTGACAGCGCGCAGAATATCACAATCAATTTAATTCGCGTAACTGTACGTCGAATATTAATTGGATTCGGGGGAAAAAAAAAAGAAAAAAAACGCAGAATGGAAACTAAATAATTATTATAGGAACAGCGTTTGATACAGTTTTAATAAAATCAGCGAACAAACACTATACACTGGGAATACAACGCAGTGAACACTGAATATAATAAATTGTACGTAATTAATAAATGCAAACGCAATTTCGCGTTATGACTTGAAAGCGCAATGTCCGCGGGGCGCGTCCACTAGCAGACTCCAAGCGATAATTCCGATAATGTAGTTAACGTCATTATTAACATAATAATTTCGTTCGCCTTCGGACAAAGGCCCCGTGCGTATTACGGTGGAAATCGGGCGAAGAGAGGACCGACAAAAGCGGCGGGCCCGGGTCGTGCTCGACGGGAAAATGACACGAACGCCTTGATCAAAGAACGTCGTCCGGCGGGGCAAAAGACCGCCTGCAGGTGTCTATTATGGGCCGCGTCTCAGGCGGGACGATATGGCGTGGGAGACGCGACGTGCCTACGGGCGGCCGCGTAATTACGGGGGGGGGGCGATGCCGGGGATAGATCCCTCGTCCCCGGGGGAGACTTTTTTTTTTTTCTACGTTTAAAGCGTTGACTCGATGCAAGGCTATTCGGTTATAAAATCATAAATCACCCACCCCGGCCCTCCTCCAACCGTCACCTCCGCTTCCAGAACAAAAACCATAACTGCGCCGCTGCCTATAGGTGTAGGTGACAGCGGGCCCGGAAACGGAAAGGGGAAAAAAGCGGCCGAAGGAAGTACCGGTAGGGGAATTCGAAAGAATATAAATTCGAAATAAATCACTCCCGTCGCCCGGGAATAAAGTCCTTGCCACCACCGCCACCTCCCCCACCCACCCCATTGCCACTCCCCGTACCGAACCGGACGGCCGGACGGCGTCGTTACGATTGCGGAAAATTCTGCGTTCGCGCGGGGCCGTTAATAATAATAATAATAAAAAAAAAAAAAAAAAAAAAAAAAAAATAATAATAATGACAACAACAATAAAAACGCCTAATAATGTTTTTTTCTCGTGCGTGTAGCGAGATCTTTACACGCCGGGACGTGTATTACGAACACCCGACGACGACGACGGGCGGCGGCGCGACGTCCGACGAAATTTTTATTACTCGCGTCGGCACACCGGGCGACCGGGTGAACGGACGAGGCGACCAATTTCGTCGGACATAAAAAAAAAAAAACTACAAAAAAAAAAAAAACACGAAAACCCGCCCCTTCGGAGGGCACACACGACGGCGTTATATGCGTATGTATCGTTACACAATGACGCGTTGTATAACATTACTACGTTTTTATTACGGCGCGACGACGAAATAAGCGATTTTTTTTGTTTTTTTTTTCTGTTTTGTTTTTCCGTATAATATACGCGAGCGCCGTTAAAATATTATCGTTGTCGTTATTATTAACAACAGGCGCCTCCTTAGAGCCGGGGACGTTATTTAAATGCGATTCTAATTCGACGGTCGTTCAAACGAAATATATTGTGTTCGGCGGTAAATTATTATTGTTCGGACGAATTATCGACAATCATCCGAATTAACGATCCTATTCGAATGCTGTTTAAACGTAATAAATACCGTTAGCTTTATACGTAAATACCGTCGGGTCCGGAGAGCCGGGGCACATTTTATGTTGGCTACGCTGATAATAATCCGCACTTCGATACGGTCCGCGTTTATTTCAAATCGATTAGGCACCGTGAAATCGAGACTGCAAACGAGTATGATAAATAGAAACCAGATAGCCGATGGACGTTTGCGCCTTTGGTAACAGCGGCGGCACTGAATATGATCGAGAAACGAATTTGCAACAGTGTAACTCAAAAATACAAGGCCGACTATTGTTTTGAATGTTTTCGTAATTTTAAATTGCCAACCAACGTTAATCCATATAAAACAAACGGAAAAAAAAAAAATTCCAATTAATTTTTTTTAGAATAATCGTTAAAAAAAAAAAAATCATTCGACTAATTATTATCTAGACGACATTTTGCCCGATTCCGCTTGGGTGTTTTTAAAACGCATCGATTTTGAATTTTTTTTTTTAATTTCAAGAAGAACTTTTCCAAAAACGTTTTATGAAGTCGGACAAAACCGTACCATTTGTTTCGTACGGGGTCGTGTTATCGTTCGATAAAAATGTTTTGACTTTTAGGCAACGCGCAATAGTAGCGTTCTGTACGGTCAAGAAATTATTGCTGGCCGGTTGCGACCGGCGCAGTAAAAACCCGACAATTATTCGTGGTAATAGCGGGCGCTAAGCAAAAAAAAAAAAAAAAAACAAAAAGTTGTTATTTTCACCCGTATCTCAATACACGCCGCGTACCCAGGGGCGTATTTAAAAACGCCTTATTTCGTGGTGGAGGCGGGGGCGGTGGAGCGGAATGGGCACAAACGAAAAATTCACATTATACATTATTACGCCATATAGTTATGAGACTGGTCGGCAAAAGACGCGTTTTTTTTTTTCTCAGTACCCGCAAACTCGGTTACTCGACTTCACTCGGCTCGATTCGATTCCGGAAAACCATCATCGTTTTACGCGGAATCCTTAAAACCCTCGACGACGGCGTTTACCCGCTCGTCCTTTGTACTCAAAACCAATATAATAATTACTAACTGTTACGGTTAAATGTGTACGTGCACCGCGACGCGGGGCTTAAAACATACGACAGTGTACGCGGTATACCTTAAAATATGCGCTTCTCGAGTATCAAGCGTGTTTTTTTCGTTTTCCACCCGCTTAAAATATCAACCCATCTGGGTATTTGTGTTTTCAGAAGCGAAAATAATGTAATCTTACGTACACCGTCGCGGAATTTTCGGAATTCCGCATTATGTTTATTTTGTATTTATACGCGTTGTATAGTCACCGTAAACTTCAAAGTCGGTCTGCGAATCTCAAAAATGCTAAAATTAATTCCATACATTACGTTATTAAATTTCAACGGATTATAATATTATTTTGCGTACGGCACGGTGCGTAAACAGACTGCAGTTTTAAAATGTCATTTTTTTTTTTTTTTTTTATTATTTTCACCGCCTTCGCCAATCAAAAGACATTGTTCTTTCGTTTTTTTTTTTCCGACTCATAACAATTTACCATACACGAATTTGATATTTCGTTTATGAAATTAAACGTTTTTTTCCGCGATATTTTACCTCGGTTAATACAATTTAATGTAATATTAAAATAATTATATTTTATCCGAATCCAGCGACGTTTTAAATATTAAATTTAAAATAAATACTATTTGAATGTACAATAATTGTACACCTAGGGCAGAGGACTTGTAGCTTTAAAACAGAGGCGTAACTAGAAATACTTTTCTGGTTGGCCCGGATAAAATATTAAAAACGTTCGAATAGGAAAGACTACTAAAACAAATTTTTTAATTTCGTTAATTTTCAAAGAAGAGCGGGTGGGCCCGGGTTTATCAGGCCTACGCACTGGCTACGCCACTGCTCTAAAAAGTAATCAAACACCTGAATACTCGAAATATGCAATTTGAAATTAAAAACAACATTTTTTTTCTAAAAAATTTTATTTACTTTGGTAGCTTCAAAATATAGCTACAACTCACAGATAATTCTACGAATACCGAAAAAAAAAACATTATTAATGTTTCAGTTTTTAAAATGTTTAACACTAACAACAATTCGGTCGACCGAATTTATTCAGGCACATCATTTTTTCAATTACACGATTTGATGAATTAATAATGATTATTTAACGTTAGGCATTTTGTACATACAAATCAATGACTGTAAACATCAAAAATCAAAAATCGCAAACAGAACGCGTAGTAAACCGTTTAGAAACACAGAACACTGATAGGCGAATATATTGGCGTGTCCGTCGCGGGGTAGTCGAAAAACTTGCGTCCGCAAACATTCGAGACAATCATGGTATATCATAATATGATGAGAATTATAAAAAATACATTTGATTCAACAGTTCCGGTTGTTTTATTGAATGAAATAAAAACGTCATTTGGGAAAAATATCGATACTGCAGTTATTAATCGAATAAAATATGTCTCAAAACTTATAAAAAAAGAAGAAATATGCCCTAAAAAAAAAAACAAATCTCAAAATATGCGCAAAATAAAATTACAAATCTAGCTTTGTCTTGGAACGAAACGTATTCGTTTTTTACTCTGCTACTTTATTTTTTCGGGAAAATTGTACAAATACCCTAGCTGTTTCGCGGTTGCGCTTCGAATCCGCAAAAAACCACCGAAGTTTTCATAACACAAATATATCCCTCGAGCGTATGTATAGGTACAATAAACTTCTTGCGGAGAATATTCGCCGTTTCGCCAAAGTCAAAGCTGCAGACGGCCGAGTCGCTGTTTTATAAGAGGGGGGATCGGAATGGATAATTTATGCACATACAGAGAGATGGGGTAGTTTAATTTATATCTGTACGCAACTATGGACCGTTGCTAGAGGAAAACGATTCTGATCAGAATATCGTTAGTCGTATATTTCCCCATCGGCACCGAGTTCGCCCGGATACCAACAGAAATTATACACAATATTGTCAGTTTTTCTCATTTCCTAAGGAAATGCACCGAGAAGAAAGTTTTCGTAAAGTTTTCGATTGGAACATGATTTCTGGTTGGAAAGTTGTTTAAAAACACAATGAAAAAAAAAAAAAAAAAAAGAAATATAACAGTAAAACCAATACGTTTCGGTCTTCGCGGACAATCTAATACGTTGTACATTTCTATACACAATCATCGAAAAAATGTGACCGTAGAATATTTTATAACTGACGGAACCGGTGATTGTATTGCGTCGTATTCGATCGTTTGTTACGGACACAAAATATTGAATACATTACAATATTATATTTGTACATAGACTTACGAAAATGTATTATAAATTCTCCAAAAAAAAAAAAAAAAAAAAAGCTAGCACTAACCAGTAACCATCACCGACTGCCCCCTCAACCCTCCAAAAGAAAAAGTTGCCGTTATGCCCGCAGAACATATAGACCGGCTCCACCGGGTGTTTAACATATTATATTGTACATTTTATTCAAAACCCTACAGGGTATTAGACTTTTTTTGAATACAGTTATTACAAGTATTTTTCGTTCGTTTAAACTCCAAAGAGTTTAAACCAACCAAATGGTTCGGTAAATTTTGTTTACTACGAAAATTGTACAAAATATTTTTACTTTAGGTGTGACTACCAGTTGTACGCTCACGTGCACGGCGTGTCATTGTAACGCGATTCAATTGGCCTTCAAAATATACGAACGACGGGAGGCAAAAAGTGGTGGGGGGGTTGGTAATTTTGAATAATTTTTTTTTTTTTAATACATTGTTTAGGGTTTCAAAAATACGTCCACGACGCCACTGTTTGCGTATGCGTGCATATTATGGTACATCGAAACACGAAAAATCCATAGGTATGTACCGATTTTTCAGATTCTTATGCCCCGCGTTATAACAACTGAAGTCTTCATTTTGCACATTTTGCTCGTTTTCATTTTTCTTCCTTGAACAACACAACGTTAGGTCACACCAAATAGGCTGTTTTATAGATTCTTAGCGAAAGAAAATTCTATTTCGTTGGGTCTTTAAGGGTGTTAATTTTTTGATTTTCTATGTGATTTTCATAATAATCCTTTTAATTAAAGTCTTTTAAACGTGTGCTGAACTGAACTCCGCTCAGAATCGTTTTTCGTTACCAAAGATTAATCGTTGCGTACATGTGTACGTTAAATAAATTCCTCTCTGCATCCTACCGTTATTACTTCTCACGTACAACAGCGGCCCACCCACCGTGCAAAGTATTTCATCCGCCATTTTTATTATTATTTTTGTTGCTGCACGTTCTCAAATATTATACGAGTTTATTTGGCCGATTTTTTTTTATAATTATATAATATATATATATATATTTTTTTTGATTAAGATTAGGACAGGTTTATATCACAAAAACTTCCCCGAGGTATACGAAACGGGATTTTACGACGAGGACGAGGAGCGGGAGTAGAAGGAGACGGGAACGAGGAGAGTGGGGTCCCCGCGGGACAAGAACCGGAAAATTTAAAATACAAATTAACTTAAAAAAAAAAAAAAAAAAAAAAACCAAAAAAACAAATTTCACAATTTATATATACGGACGCTGACGTATATTATAGGTGTATAGAGTTATTAGACTTTTATATTATGGTGTTAATCGATTTTTCGTATTGACGTTTTTATGAGTTCCCCGGGGATTTATTTTTTTTCTTATCACGTCGGTCGTCCGATAATATTATATTTTTGTAATGATAAAAACGTCGCGCGTTATACGATGAGTTTATTGCGACGGGTCCTCGACGCGACCTGTCGTCGACGACGGTGACGGTTTTAAAAACGCATTACGCTTATCGAAAGACGTCATTGACTAAATACCCCCCCCCAAAAAAAAAAAAAAAACCCAATGCGTCATGAAACAACGCAAAATGATTACGTCCGATTGTCATAATAATAATAATAATATCGCTGAGGTACCAGCATGATTAAAAAATTCGTACAGTTTCTACTTGTACATTGTGTACATTGCCTATTGCGGTTTACGTACCTCACATCGTACACGTGTATTCTGAGTGTCCTAACAGTGATATCCTTACGCTAATAATTCTGTTAACAATCATTTTTTCTCTACGCGTGTGTAACAATTCGATTTTTATTTTCATCTCTTGCAATAAGCGACAAAAAAAATAATTTTTATTTTTCAAATTTTCAGACTGAAACATTTTACAAAATGGCTGTTTTGCGAATTTCGAAAAATGGAAAAACAAAGTAATTTTTTTCAGCGATTAAGGGGTGAAAATAAAAACTTGATTTTTCTCTACATACGAGTCAAACAATTTCCCCCACCACCGCCATAACTAAAAATCTCGTCAACGCGTGTTGACAGAAATCAAAAACGTCAACACCAAAATTTATTCGAATAAACACTCGTATATCCGCGGAATTTTGAATGTAGGTAGGTAGCCATTTTAATTTCAAAAATCTACCCCCCCCCTCCCATACCACAAAAGAGCGTCTAAAAATGTCAAGCCCACGTGTTATAAACACTGCATCATACTGTACGTATAGGCTATATAAGTCAGTTTTTATCCGTCATTTTAAATTTCGAATCACCGTCGGGTACAAACAGACGTTAAGTCTATGTAAGTATGTATGAAAACCGAATTTCGTTTCCGGTGCGTAAACATCACGTACGTCCGATTTACTCGTTGATTTTTTTTTTTTTTTTTTCCGGTGATACGTGATGTCGTGATGTATAAAATGCTATCGTATTTTACATATTATTATTTTAACGATTTCGGTCGGGAAAAACATAATTCGATCGAGATTTTAGTTATTATCGAAAATACCCGCGCGGGAGATGATACCGAAAATTGGGTTTGCCGGTCTCGAAACGTGATTTTTCGCGCCTTTATAATAGTGAGCGTTAAAAAAATATTATCGCATCTCCGACGAGTTTTAGCTGCACAGTGTTATATCATCTGTCTACCCGCCTGACTATCCAGTCCGGTACCTACGCCTAGCAAACATATTATATTTCTTGTTTATTCCAGAAAGCGTCATTTTTTTTTTTTTTTTTTTTTTTTTTTTTTTTTTTTTTTTTTTTTTTTTTTTTTTTTTTTTTGTGATTAATATTATGATGTCTTATCTCGAAACAAAATAAATTAACGCTACAGTATATATATGTATATATATATATTTATAATATTAAGAATTATAGACACTATCTGAGTGTAGTATCCGAAAATATAATAACAACGGAATTCGCGAAAACAGAAGCGTGTGTTCGTTATGCCCACAAAAATGATTTTCAGCGACATTTCAGTTTTCAATACTTTATATTGGTTTTTATACAACTATTATGTTAATTTTTTTTTTTGTCACAGCACTGTGCTATAGTCAACTAAAGTCTAAACAACACTAGATACCTATATTTAATATGTGCACAACGAACAGTCAGTAGTTAAAAATATGAAGATATTTTATAAATCTTGGGCCTTTGAGGCCTTGCCTTGTCCGCAGACAAAAAAACCTTACCGGGGACCCGGGAACCTTCCGAGTTTGTATTATTTCTAAGACGTGTTTTAAAACTTCAAAATTATAATTCACAAAATAATAAACGAACAATTCGAATAAACGTTCTTGATTAAAAAAAAAAGAAAAAAACATTTTTACGACCCGAGGAGGGGGAAGGGATCGCCCAGACCCGGAGTCCGCCACCTCGGTTACGCCACTTACCTTTACTCCGATAATTATATTTTATATTTTTTTAATTAATTCGAATATTTCCAACTATTTTACGCAAAAAAGTTCATTACGTCGCCGTGGGTTTTTTTTTTTTTTTTTTATTCGAATATCACCGTCGTCGTTTTAATTTAAAATTCATACACCTAAACTTGCACAACACAAAGCAAACAATGTTGGCCGTAAGTTTTTTTGTACAGCGTCGTATAGTTTTAAAACATAATATTAGTTTAGGAAAAGAAAAAAAAAACTCCCTATTAAATATTTTTGGTAGTTCTTATTTCGAATAACGCAAGCGACTTAAATGACCTAAAAATAAATATACCTATGTATATTTTTTTTTAATGAGAAAATTGTATACATTTAAGATTTTTACAAAATATATACTTATATAACTGTGCTCGGCGGCGGCGATTCAAGGACTTTGACAAGTCCGCGAGTTCCTTTAATTATTATTATTCTATTTATTTACGCGCGACTATATAGACGACGATTCGGCTAAAATTATTAAAAAAAAAAAAAGAAAAAACACGGTGGCTGCAAAATCGCGATACTAAAATATTAATCAAATAGATGCGAGTTTTTCATCGTTTTTTAACGTTATTATGTAGTCAAAGTCCGTGCGTACGTCACTTATTATTATCGCTTGCAGCGCAGACACTGCAAATAGTGAAAATATTCTGGGGGTGTTTAATCATCACCCCGCCCTCGCAATATTGATTTAAAAAATTATCCTCTACGACTGTTGCTGGGCGAATTGTAATTATACAGTGCGGAGACCGGAGGGAACTGCAGAGCTTCTCTAGTGGTTTTTTTTTTTTTTATTTTACGTCCCTTTACTAATTATTTCAATTGGAACGATACAATTTCCAAAATTGCCGACTCGAATTAATTTTAAGCAATCGTAATTGTTATTACTCTCGGGCTCATCTCTCAGAAATAAATTATGGTGTGCGTGGGCGTTCTCACGGCGGGGTATATGAGGGATGTGTCCCTCTTCCATGGTCTTTTTTTTTTTTTTAAGTAAGTAATATGGAGTTTCCTGTTAAACCGACGTTTAGTAATAATAATCAATGAACATTTTTCTGACTCGTTATCGTTTTTCACGGTATTCGTAGTTCTATACTGTTAATATATTTTCCCGGGTTTCTATTGTTGTTAACAATCGTTTTTAGTGAAAAATTTAGTATGTGTTTCTTAGAAACGTCTTGGAAATGGATTTTAGCATGGTTGGCCGTCCATAGAGAAGTCCCCATAGATTCCGAAGAATAATTGCTTGATGGACGTACCGGTTCAAAAATCAAGAAAAATTGATATCATTCAATATTTTAATCAAAAAAATATATAATACAGTAAAACTACCGTTAACGGTCACCTCTGTGCAACGGTAATTTTTTGTAATATATTTTATTTTTCCGTATGAAAGGGGGTGTAAGGGCTTGTTAATACATTTTCATATCTCCCCTCCCCCCAATAAAAATTCCCGGGAACGCCTCTGATAGTGTGGTAATTTTTTTCTGTATTGCACTTTCACTATATAGTATAATATAATTACTATGCAGTTACGAGTGCTACTCGATAAAATATTTTCGTTAGAAACGTATGTGCACGTTGATTGTATATTTGTCGTAAACTATTAATTTGCTAGTGGGGTGGGGGGGGGGTTAGCGCCAAGCCCCCCGCACGGTTCGGATTGAATTCGACCGACGCAACGGACGCTCGAATTTGTTTAAAATCTCGTAGTCCCTGTGTTTTTATTTTTCGAGAATACATTTAAGTACACACTTAATACTAGAGAACCGTAAGTGGTGATTCGTGTACGATCGACTTTTATAGAGAATCGAGTCATAATCCTATTTGCCCGGTTTCAAACTATACAGAAAACGGTTACATTATGTATTACGTTATAATATGCATCCGATCGCGAGTATTTTTTTTTTCTTTTTTATGGATTTTGATCCGAGTCTCCCGTATGTATACCTACATATAATAATATGTTATAATCGAATTCTGTAAACTTATACGAGACATAATCGCGTGCCTATCACGCGTAACTTTTTTTTTCTTTTTTTTTTTTGCTAAAAGCAATAAAGTTCTATACGTCGGAGAATCGGTAAAAATCGCATTACGTATACGATAAAAAATGCATAAAGCCTCGGGCGTCATTCCGAATGGGGGACAGGTGGGACGGTAGGGAAAGTCAAATAAATTATTTTTACAATTTTATTCGATCGTCGAAGTACCCACTTACGGAGTGTACGTATATAACGGTATAAAACGGTCGTACCTATTTTATAATTACAAACGGCGAACAATCGAAAGTAATACGTGTATATATACAACGAAATAGTAATAATCGCGTGCCTATCACGCGTAACTTTTTTTTTTTTTTTTTTTTTTGTACCTAGTTATACGACAATTATACTAGATATACCCGGGTGAGTAATTATTATTAACCGATTTACAACTCAGTAATCTATAACCTCCTCCCTCTTTTGGCGGCTTGGATTTGATTTCGTTGAACGCAATAACACACACGTCTAGCACCGCTCAGCGTCAACAATGTTCGGGGTAATTTTTTATATTTTTACATGTTACAACACACCGCATTTTTATATTTCTGTTTGAAAAGCAAATAAATTTGAATAAAAAAAAAAATAGACATTCTTACTATTACCGGGTCCTAAAAAGGTCAGGGGGGATTATCCTCACATCTCCTCCCAGAATATACGTCTCCAACTAAGACCAATATAATGTTACTAAATTAATTTTTTTTCGACGTCCGCCTGAGCGCCGACTTGTAATAAACTTTTTTTTTTTTTTAAATTACCCGCTTTATTGAATATCAAAACAAATATTTTAATATAAAATTATAATTGACAAAAAAAATAAAAACTCGTTAAGTTAGTTTTCGTTTTAAAAATATCATTGAAAAAAAATATGCATATATATATATATATGAAACGGTTTTCAACGGCAGACGGTGTCAGAACTTAAAATAAACAATTTATAAAAGCAAATTTTTAATATTATTAGTAGTTTTTATTATTAATTTTTTTTTTTTAACTTCTAGGAAATTGAAAAAAAAAATACTTTTATGGAAAATTAATACGATACGTTTCGGATTTTAATATACTAATGGCTGATGACACACGTGTAGGTAGGTTTACCCATAGTGGTAATTAATTTCCGGTTTTCCGAAAAGTGTCGTGTAGAAGCGAGAATAAAAAAAACGTCCGTTTTTTGTACTTTGGCTACAACGCGACCTACGCACCGCAAAACGAAAAAATATTAACCTTAATAACTATTTCACGTTTACTTGTTAAAACGATACTGTTCTACGGAACGTATTCGGACACGTTTAACAAAATGTAATGACTTTATTGAACATTTAGATTTTTAAATTATAATTACATCTCGGCGTTAAAATGTCGATATCCGTCAAATAAAAAAAAAAAAAAAACGTTTAAGCATTAGAAATCGAAAATTAGAAAGGAAAATTGAAAAGGTAGGTAAGACACAGGCGGGAATTGAATGCATATATCCGTAAGGGAGTAACGATAAACCATTACTAACGAAAATAGGGTTCTGAGCGGAGTTGCTTTGTCGACAATAGATATTATGTCATATTATGGTAAAATGATTACAAAACTGTGCGTTTCCACGAAAACAATGATTGTTGAAAAAATATTAAAATAATAAAAAACAAACAAAAAACGGTCGCCAATGACAACCGTCATTATTTAATCGTTCAATCTCGTTTGACCCGGAGAACCGGGATTTCATCGTTATCTCGAATATTAACGAGAATTTCCGAAAATTGACCTCTCTAAAGCATTTCGCAGCATTTTTGATCCGTTCGGTTTATTGTGGATGCCGTTTTTCGATTTTCCCCGCGGTTGTCACGATGAATCGGAAACAACCGCGGCGTGATTTTCGTCTATTTTCGGATTAGCCCCCGGGCAACGGGAAAAGTCCGACGGAAAAATCGGGGCTCTGAAGAAGAAAAAAAAAAAACAACCCGATGGGAACTGCACCCGGGACGTTGACATTAAACCGCATTGGCGTGCGCGAAATGGCGGCGCGGGGTTACCCACTAAGCCCGAAACACTCTCGGCGGCCGACGACGGCGGTTTACCGGGCGAACGGCGGTGCGGTCCGGGGAGCGCGGATTTGTCGCGGAAAAACCGCTCGCCAATTAGGCGCGTTCAATTAGGGGAAGTTTCGCCGTGCGGGCGCGCCCAACGTCTTAACAACGGCGCTGTCTTTTCGCGGGGGCGCGGCGGGCCCGGCGGTAAGGGGGGGGG